CCCTGTCTCAAAAAGACCAAAAGAATAAGAAAAGAGGGAGGAGGGGGGGGGAGGAGGCATGGCTCAGGGTGGAGCACCTGCCTAGTATCCCCAGGTGAGGGACTGGGGGCAGGCTCAATGATGGGGCTTGAAATAGTTTGTACACACAAATAATAAATAAACAAATGTAAAAACTATTCTATCCCTGTGGTTGTGGTGCACACCTTTAATTCGAGAGGTAGAGACAGGCGGATCTCTGTAAGTTCGATGCCATCCTGGTCAAAAGAGCGAATTCCAGGACAGCAAGGGCTATACAAAGAAAGCCAATCTCAAAAAAGCAAAACAACAACAATAAATTTTTTTTTAAAAAAAGAAAAAGTAAAAAGAGTTGGGCGTGGTGCCTCTTGTCTGTAACTCCAGCACTTGGGAGGCAGAGGCAGGAGGATCACTGACATTTCAAGGCCAGCCTGTACTACCTGATGAGTTCCTTTCTCACAAAAGAGAAAAAAGAAAAACCACAAACCAGTAACAAAACACAATGAAAACCGAATAGACCACTAATTCCAGATACTCAAGAGGCTTGTAGTATGATTGCTGCAAACTTAAGGCCAACCTGGAATACAGAGGGCGTTCCAGTCCAGCCTGGGCATCCTGGGGAGAGGCTGCCCCAAAAGATTAGAGGGCTGGGTGGTGGCTCTGTGGTGGTGTACCAACCTGACTTGTGCACCCTAGGTTCGATCCCCAGTACCAGAAATGAAGGAACAGAAGGCAGAAGCAGGATGATCTCTGTGAGTTAGTGGCCAGCCTTGGTGAGTTCCAGGACAGCCAGGGATACACAGTGCGACTCTGAGTTCGAAAACACGCAACAACAGAGCAGCAGTGTGGAACGAAACGTTATTACTCCCAGGCAGCGTTCTCCACGCGACACAGATGCTCCCGGAACCTTTATTTAGTGCTTCGTATACCAGCACGCGGGAAGGGAGCGAAAACGCACTCGGAATTTTGATCGACAGAGATTGCAGCCAATGAGAACGGTAAAGCCGGTAAACTACAGCGAGTAAGACGGCTGCGGAAGTGACGCTAGTGCGGCGCCCGGCCTGAGAAACATCAGGAGAACCAAAGAGAAGTGCTCGTTCGCTTGTTCGAGGACCAGGAAGCAAAATGTCGGAGCGGAAAGTTTTAAACGTAAGTGCTCAGAGTCTAGATATCCTATCGAGAGTGGGACTTGCAGGGGCTCTAAAAGAGGCGTGCTTCCTTCCGGTCATTTTCTTTTGGAATTCCGCACACACACCTCGAGCGCCCGCGCGCCGCTTTCCGTGGGCGGAGCTTCCAAAACTCTTGCCAAAATAAGCTAATGAGCGTTAGCTTATGTTTCCTTGCCTTCCTGGTGAACAACCAATCATCACCAGGGAAGTAGAGTTTATGTCACTTCATCCGATTGGTTTTTCCAACTGTGCAAGCGTTTTTTTTTTTCCCCTGAGGGCGGGATTGTGTTTTGTGGGCGTTCCCAGGTCAGGGAACGTTTTTTGGCGGCCTCAGTTCGTCTCAGTTTTTGTTAAATGCATATCCGAAATCTTTTGACTGCTTTTTCTACACCAGTTTGGGGTAACTGGAATGACTGCTTTCTCTCTTGAAAAATTTTACTTTACATTTCCTGGATTTGTTTTTTAAGTAATTTGTTTTGAGTGATGGTTTCACTATGTAGCCTAGAATGGTCTCAAACTCAGAGACCCACCTGCCGGAGCCTACCAGTTGCTGGGGGTTGAAGGCATGTCCCCCTACACTGGACTCTTATTCATTTTTTTAAAGATTTATTTTTATTTTACGTTTTTCCTTCATGTCCGTCTGCGCCACACATGTGTGCAGTGCCCGGGCTGACTGTAAACTCACAGTTCTCCTGCATCAGCCTCCTAAGTGCTGGTATGACGGGTGTACACCATCATTCTTATCGGCACCCTGAAGTCTTAGCAAAGCTTCCTTCAAGCAGCGAGACAGCATCAAAAGCAGAATGTCTCCTTGTTGGTGGTCCACACCGTTTTTTTGTTTTTTTTTTTTTTTTTTTTTTTGTTTTGTTTTGTTTTGGTTTTTTTTTTTTTTTTTGACCTTTTCATATGAGGGAATTTGTCTCTCTCCATCCCCCTGTCACAGGCTCCCAGGGGCTGGGGTGGTGGATATGGGCATTGGCATGACTCCTATAACCCAGAGTGGCAGTCCCTGTGTGTCTTATCCCAAGCACACAGAGAGGCTGGAAGCTTTTCTCCCTACAGAGATTGCCTGGCCAGATTTTGACCGTGGATGGTGTCTGGAAGCCTTCATGGTGCCCTAGTGCAGGCTAGACCACTATGGACAAACCCTGGTTTATGTTGGGCCCCTGTTTCCTTATGAGTATCTAGAGTCTTCTGTGCTGGGCAAAGGGATCCACCCCCACTGCAAACCCTGGGCCTCTAGAACTTTCCCTGGAAGGCATGACACAGCTCAGGGAAGCGACCGATGCACATCCTATGATTTGTCTGGAAGAAGGTTCTGGAAGCTTGGGCAGTCTTCCTCCCTGTCCCAACATATCATGGTTATGCTTCAAACAACCATCTCTGGGAAGGTGACATCAGCTGAACCCTAGCAGATCCCTAAAACCAGGGTATCCTGAGTCCACTGACAAGGTTCCCATACTCCATTTCTACCCATATGAGACCTGAGCACCATAAAACAGCAATACTCCCTTCCCCACAGAAATACTACCCACCTGACTTTGACCCGTCGAAGATCCCAAAACTCAAGCTACCCAAGGACCGGCAGTATGTGGTGCGGCTGATGGCCCCCTTCAACATGAGGTGAATTCCTGGGGGGGGGCAGGAGGCCAGAGCTAGGTGTCTCTCTGGAGACAGGAAATAGGGATGAAATCCCCAATCTCTGGGAATCCCATGCCCCCATCACAGGGTCTCAGTGGATAGTCAGAGTAGCACTTATTTGTTTGTTGTTTTGGGGTTTTTTTGGTTTTCAAGACAGAGTTTCCTTTTGTAGCTGTGGCTGTCCTGGACTCAATTTGTAGACCAAGCTGGCCTCAAACTCACAGAGACCTGCTTGCCTCTGCCTCCCAGAGTGCTGGGATTAAAGGTATAAAATCCTTCTAATCCTTTCAAGTAGTGGCACTCCCTAGTGACTAAGCATTCAAATATATGACCCTAGGGGGGCCATTCTTATTCAAACCACCACTTCTCCAGCAGGTACCTACCATTGGGGGTTGGGAGGGCAGGCTCCTGGCTCAAAGGCTAGTGGAGTGTGGGGATGATACTGATCATCTGATAGTCACACAAGGACACATGAGGCTGGCAAGGCAGGTAGTCTGCCACCTGGATAGTAAGGGAAGTGTTAGGATCTCAGGCTGTGAGGACTACAGGCAGAGCAAAGGTCCTGAGGTCGGACCAGGCTAGAGGTGTTTGTAGGCACAGCAGTAAGGTGGCACAAAGCAGGAAAGGAGGAGCGGCCAGGGTGCAGAATCTCAGAAGCTCCATATACCCAGGCAGGGCAGTCCTTCGGGTGCTAGAACAGAACACAGAGGCACTCACATGCTGCCCTGGCTGCAGGTGTAAGACATGTGGAGAATACATCTACAAGGGGAAAAAGTTCAATGCACGCAAGGAAACTGTCCAGAACGAGGCATACCTGGGCCTGCCCATCTTCCGATTCTACATCAAGTGCACACGCTGCTTGGCCGAGATCACCTTCAAGGTAGGGGCTTTGTTCATTTGTTCACTACCTTTTCCTCTGAGGACGTCCCACAAAGGTACAGAGCATTGGGGAGGTCCCTGCAGCAGGACCCCACATACACAGAAAAGCCTGCATGTGTGCAGGGTGTGGGATATATTGCAGGGTCAGGAAAAATGGTTCTGTGCTGGGGCTTTGCTTATTGCTTTGTTTAGGCAGTCTCATGTAACACAGGCTGGCCTCAGACTCCTATGTAGTCAGGAGTCTGGTCCTCCTGCCTCCACATCTTGTAAAAGTCATGATTTTCTCTTGTTCTTTTGTGCTTCTTGGGATGGAGGCCAGGGCTTTACATGCATTTGGCAAGTGTTCTGCCTGAGCCACTGCCCAGGCACAAAAGCCAGAGGATTCTGGGAAAGACAGGAGAAGAGACATTCTCCTCTCCACTCTGCATCATTAGAGGCAGTGCTTTTTGTTTGGTTGCTTTTTTACTGTAAGCTTTTTTCTTTGAGTTCAAAAAATAAGGTTTGATTAAAGTGAACAAAACGTAAGCCTGAAGAAGTTCCATTCTTACTTCACAAATGTGAGCATCTGCCTGAAGGTTTGTGTACCACCTGTGTGACAAGGCCAGAAGGGGGCGGGGCTGGGAGGCAGCCCTGGGAGCTGGAGTTAAACCATGTGGGTGCTGAGTACTGAACCCAGGTCCTCTTGCAGTGGCAGCCAGTGCTCTAATCCCTGAGCTGTCTTCTCATCTGGTTATTTTTGAGCAAAGCCTTCTGTAGCCCTGGCTAGCCGCATGCTTCCCCCACCCAGACAGATGCACACCACCTCGGGTCCTCTGTGTCATTTGCAAGAAGGTAAAGCTAGATGAGCACGCAGCCCAGAGGTGTGGAGGCACTTGTCCAGAGGTGCACTGAGGGCAAGCATGGAGCAGGGAAGGGAGCCCATGTGTTCTGGCCGCAGAATGTTCTGGGGGTGTGGGCCCTAGGAGGAAAGGCCCACGCCACCAAAGAGTAAGCAAAGAGACTAGCAGAGGAAATGGAGAAGTGCATGCAGGAGCCTAGGTCACCACCCTGGAGCCCTCAGTAATAGTGTCCCCTCCCTCTCCTCCCTTCCCCTTGCAGACAGACCCAGAGAACACTGACTATACCATGGAGCACGGGGCCACACGCAACTTCCAGGCTGAGAAGCTTCTGGAGGAGGAGGAGAAGCGGGTGCAGAAGGAGCGTGAGGATGAGGAGCTGAACAACCCCATGAAGGTAAACCTTAGCCATAGCACTCACTCTTACACGCCCCTTCCACCCACACCCCTTCCCTGCCTCTACCCTTCTCCCACCCCTGTGCCCCTTCTCTCACCCCTGTGCCCCATCCAAGTACCCCCTCACTGCCCCCTTGTTCCCTGTACCCCCTTCCTCCACCCACTCCTCTTACCTATCCCTACTCCCTCTCCCCACCCATTCTGCCTCTCCCCTCCACTCCCCCTGGCCTGACCCCTCACCCACCCTTGCGCCCTCTCACTCGCTCCTGCACCCCCAGGTCCTAGAAAACCGCACCAAGGACTCAAAGCTGGAAATGGAGGTGCTGGAAAACCTTCAGGAGCTAAAGGACCTGAACCAGCGGCAGGCCCATGTGGACTTTGAGGCCATGCTGTTGCAGCACCGCCTGTCACAGGAGGAGCGGAGACAGCAGCAGGAGGAGGAAGACGAGCGAGAGACTGCGTGAGCCAGCCCCACCCTTCTGGATCTTTCCACAACTTCTCCTCTCCTCAGCTGGGGACCTCTCCTGTCCTGTTTTCTCTACTATGGCCAGCTGCTGTAACCCATGGGACCCAGGGCTCCACAGCTGTCACTGTGGCTTTTTGTTTCGGTCCCAAAACTGTGGGTTTGAGATAGGGCCTCAGGCTGTTCTCAAAATCATTAAGTGGCCAAGAATGGTCTCGAACTCCTGATTCTCCTGCATCCACCCGAAGTGCTGGGATGGTCAGTATGCTCCCGTTAGATATTTACTTATTTTTGTGGTGCTGGGTATGTGCCAGCCAAGTCTTCAGCCAGTGAGCTGCTGCCCTCAAAATTGTAAACATTGTCACCTGTTCCTGTTGCCCATGCCCTAAGAGCAGGAAGGTGCAGTGGCCCCTAGCCACTGCAGCAGAGACCCCTAGGGACCACCCCCATAGCAGGTTCTCACCATATCCATCCCATAGGGCCTTGCTGGAGGAGGCTCGCCACTGTAGGCTTTTAGAAGATTCCGACTCAGAGGACGAGGCTCCACCTTCCCGACCATTGGCAGCCACAAGACTCAACCCCACGGCCATCCTCAACGAGGTGAGCTGGGCCAGGATGTGGGGTTTGGGTAGCCAGGCTGAACAGCCACAGGAGAAGTCATAGGCCGCAGGACTATTGTTCATAACAGAACAAGCAGACCGCAGTATGGCTGTTCTGCTCTACTTCCTGCTTCTGAGCCTGAGGCAGGGAATAAGCCAGTCAACAGTTTACCAAGAACGGGGAGTCCCCCAGTCAGTCAGTCAGGTGCCTGTCACAAGCACAGGACCAGGGTTTGGCACACACCTTTTTTCTTTCTTTTTTTTTAAGTTTTGTTTATTTATTATATATACAGTACTCTGCCTGCCTATATACCTGCACGCCAGAAGAGGGCACCAGATCTCATTATAGATGGTTATGAGCCACCATGTGGTTGCTGGGACTTGAACTCATGACCTCTGGAAGGGCAGCCAGTGCTCTTAACCCCTTAGCCATCTCTCTAGCCTCTACATACACCATTAAATCCTGGTACCTTGGAGCAGAGTCAGGTAGAGTTCTCATGTTTGAGGTCAGCCTGGGCTACATAGCAAGACCCTATTTCAAAAAATAAACCCAGATGCAGCCCAACAGGCCTGGGATCCTGCATGGAAGAAGAAAAGACAGGAGGGTCTTGGGCTCTCCTGGGTGGGGTCCACAAGTCACTGAGAGACCCTGCCTCAAAAACCATGGTGGAGAGCAGCTGATGAAAACAGCCATGTTAGTCTGGCTCCCAGACATGAGTGCACAGAACCAGGAGCTGGCCCAAGAGGCTGTGAAAGGTAAAGGGCTCTCCCTAAGGCCCATCAGGGTCCTGGGTGCATCCAAAACTTTGTAGCATCTCTGGCCCAGCTTTTGAAGGTTTCAGCACCTTCTGGCCTCTTCCAACTTCCAGAGTGTTAGTCCAGCTGTGAGTGCCAGTGCACATGCTCCAGGCTTTGGAGGTCAGTGAGCAGCCTCCATCGTGGGGCCTTCCCCACCCTGAGAAAGGGTCTCCTCTGTGGCAGTTGTGTGCTCCAGGCCCACTGACTCCCAGGACTCCACCACCAGGGTTATAGACTGATGCTGCTTGTGCCTAGCTCTTCTGTGGGTGCTGGAGACTCAAATGCAGGCCTCACTGATCCTCCATGTGGAGCCCAGACTAATCTGGTTGTGATTTGTTTTGTCTTTCTTTGAAGCAGAGTTACACTCCACAGCCCAGGCTGGCTTCAAACGCAAAATCCTCTTGCTTCAGCCTCCCATATTATACCCCACTCCTTCACACCCCAGCTTCGTGTAACAGTGACGAGCACCTGTCATGTTATCAGTCATGGAGGCATCTACTGTGTGCCAGGAGCTGTTGGCACCACTAGGGAGACTGGTCAAAGGATTGTGGACCTGGGATATACAACACTTCTTGAGACCACATATGGGGCACATACTTGAGAATAGGTATTGAGGGGTGGGTATGAGTTTCCAGGGTGAACCGACAGCAGATGAGAAGTCAAGTGCACAGTGTGAAGTGGGGGATGGGTCACAGGGAGCTGGGTAAGAATCCGAAGCTAGGGTGGACTCGATAAGCAAACAGAGCTCTGCAGAGCCGGGTCAGGGAGGCCAGAGGGGCAACAGCTCTGCACGTCCCCACAGGTTCCAAAGGCCAAAAGGAAGGCAGAAGGCCTAAGCAGCAGAGCACAGCTAGCTGCCTTGGTTGTGCCGAAGAAGGTGAAGATGGAAGCCAATGGGGGCTCAGAGCAAGTCCAGGTGCCCACCTCGGGTGAGTCCCCCTCAGCAGCCATGGTGGCAACCATGCATATCTGACCCTGTCCAGAAGCTTCATAGGCTGGGCAGGGGGAGGACTGACTCTCAGGCCAGGGACCAGAGTGAGGCCCCCTCTCTCTTCGTCATGGAGGCTCTTGGTGGCACTTGGCCTTCATACTATCCCTGGCTCCTGTGGATACTCAACTGCCCTAGGTAGGGTCTCTCTGGCCCAGTTTAGGATTGGGATGACAGTCACAGGGCCCTCCTATCTGGGCACACTCCCCTGGCCTGGGCCAGGCCTGACTTGTTTTCCCCACAGGTGCCCAAGAGAGCAGGAAGGCAGCTGACCCTACACCCCAGACACCTGGTGCCTCCTCCCTGAGCCAGCTGGGTGCATATGGGGACAGCGAGGACAGTGACAGCTGAGCCCCCCATGGTGGCATCATAGACCCAAGAAGCCAGAGGAGATGGGATCAAGTGAAACACCGTCAGCAAAGGCCTCAGACCGCGTCTGCCCTGGCAGGGTGTGGGAAAGCACACATGGACAGACAGCTGGGTCCACTCCTCCATTTCTTGATTTATGCTGAGCCTGTTGGCCCCGTCCCTTCCTGCCAAGGATCTGAACACTCTGTGACATGGGGCAGAGTGTAGGGCCCCCGGGGACCATCTCCCAACCACACACACAAAGTCTGGGCCTCCACCGGCAACACAGTAGCACTGTGTGAAAAGAAAGAAGAAATAGAAAATCAATTGAAAAACAGAACCACGTGGAGAGAAGCTGCCTGACTGCAGAGGCCCACAGCCCGGCATAAACCTGCCCGCCCGCAGAGGGCCGTACGTTGAACTTCTGCCACATGCCCTGGGCCTGGACCCTTAGCCTTTGTTCTGGTACTATAAGACAGTTACCAAGGCTGAATCTGTTGTATAGAACACAGTGGGCCAGGTGCGGAGTGGGGGTGGGGAGGCATGTTTATGTAGCCAGGGCTAGTCTCCACCCCACCATTGCTGGTATTAGAGCCATGAACCACCAAGCTGATCTTAAGCCTGAAATGTTTGTGTTGGAACCTGCTTTTCCCCTGGGGATTCCTACTTCTCACACCCAGTGTCTGGGGTCGGGGGGAGGTTTGCTCCTTCTCAAGCCAAGAGCCAGGGCACCCTGGGGTCTGGTGCAAGCCTTCCCCCACTGACCTCTGCTTCCACAGCTCTGCAGCTGTCATCGTGTCCTCAGGAGTTGTCAGGTCTATCTGTCAGCTCCCTGGGGTCCCCTGGCAACAGGAGCCACTGGAATAGAGCCAATTCCCAACACCTGTCCTGGGTGCTCAGAGAGACACTGGCTCTACCAGCTTCCCCATGCCCCTCTGCTCCTTGCTGGTCACAAGCCTAGCCATTGCATGGTGACACAAACTGCCTGGTTAAGGGGTGGGGTGGCACGCTACAATTGTATCTTTGAAGCCTTTTTATCCTGGACAACACTGTCTCTAGCAGGCTGGAGGAGCTGGGCCTCACCAGCAGACTGGGGCTCTGAAGTCAGAGCTATGCTTCCATCAGCTGGGGACCTTGAACATCAGTGACTTGCCTCTTCCTTCAGGCTATGAGCACAGGGAAGCAAGTGTGTACTTCCATCAGATTGGGGACCCAAAAGGCAGATTCACACCTCCCTCAGGATAGGAGCCTTCCTACAGGACCTCCAGACTGGAGGCTTCCCAGGCAAGCCCTGCATCTACCACTGGACTGCACTAAGCAGGACCTGTCTTCCTAGTGGCCAGAGCATTTGGGTCCCCTACACACACTTGCCTGGGTCATTGGGGTTTTTTTTATTATTATTTATACAACATTCTGCCTGCACAATAGATGGTTGTGAGCCACCATGTGGTTGTTGGGAATTGAACTCAGGACCTTTGGAAGAACAGTAAGTGTTCTTAACCTCTGAGCCATCTCTCCAACCCTGGGTTTTGTTTTTGAGACAGGGTTTCGCTGTGTAGCCTTGGCTGTCCTGGAACTCTGTAGATCAGGCTGGCCTCGAACTCAAAGAGATCCACCTGCCTCTGCCTCCCAAGTGTTGGGATTAAGACATGTGCCACCACTGCCCAGGGTGACCTTGGGTTTTGAGTGGGTTTCACTGTGTAGACTGACGCATGGCCACCATCCTCGCAGACCCACTGTGGACCAATGTACCTCCTCTCCTGGCCCCGTGATTTGCCTCACTTTTGCTTCCCAGATTTGAGGGTCAGGGACTCCTATCTGGCTGCTTCCTGAGGCCCCAGTTAATCTGTATATACTGAGCAATGCTGTGTGCCCCATGATGGAAGAGCTACACAGCCGTGAACAGGAATGCTACCAGCAGGCTGATCCAGAGACAGGACAGATTCATGGAGGCTGGCAGGGCCATGGGGGAGTGGAATGTTCTGGAACTAGGGTGCAGCAGGTTACATGACCTTTCTCATATACTATACAACCTACTCATGATCTTCCTGTTTCTGTTTGGACTTAAGGTGCTAAGGGCTAACCCTACCCTCTCAGCCAGCCCCCCCCCACCCCCAGCCCTTGGGTTGTACTTCTGAAAGGGGCAGCCATAGACTGTGTGCATTACAATAGGGGCTGCCCTATTCCATCCATCGTCCATGTCATCCAGCAGGGGTTTCCAGGGTTGCTGCCATGATTCCCTTCCCCCACCGCCAGCACACGCGGGCGCGCGCGCGCACGCGCGCGCACACACACACACAGCCTGCTCCTCTCCAGAGGCTCCCAGGCGAGGGAAAGTCAAGCGCCGTTTGGTTCCGCCTCAGGGCCCCTGATTGACATTCCAGCCACACACAGTTATCCGCCCTCCATGCTTTGGATGAAGCTTGTGTGTGATGCTCTTGGCCGTCACCTGTGCCAACACACATGGGATGACCTGTGTGCTCTGGGGACACTGCCTGGCAGAGACCAGAGCTGCAGGTGCTCAGGGGACAGCCTACTCCGGGTGCCGTGTTAGCTCTCAGCCTCAGTTTCCCTACCTGGAAAGCAGGGCTCACAGCGGACAAGAGAATGACAGCTCAACCTGTGAGCAAACGGTGCCATTCCTGAGATGTCCAGGCACAAAAGGTCGGATAGGTGGCCTGAATAATGGCTCCTACACATAGCCTCTCGGTGCCTCAATTTCCCCAACCTCAACATCTCAGTCCGTAGGGCACTTGCATAGCATGCACGAAGCCCTGAGTGTCATCCCTAGCGCTGGGAGGCGGAGGCAGAAGGATCCAGAGTTCGGGGTCACTCTTTGCTGCAAGTGAGTTAGAGGCCAGCCTGGGCTACTTTAAACCCTCTGCAGTAGTCTGTCAGTGCTTCCGGCGCCTTTTACCGGATGGGGACACTAAGCCACACAGACCCATAGCAATGGCTTTTGGGTGACTGGCTGACCCTGCCCTTCCTCTCCTTGGGGTTCCACTTCCCTCCCGGCTCCCTGTCCAGCCTTTGGGGGTCTTAGACCGCCCCCCTCCCTCTGCTCGCCTACCCTCGCTGCGGCCACAGTCGGCCCCTCCCCCTCGCCCACCACAAAGCGACGGACGCTGTGGTGACGGACGACGCCTCCCGCCCCACGCCACCTCCAGCCTCGACCCTGCGCGATGCTTGGGCCTCTCGCCCAATCCCCGCCCGGCCCAGGTCCCAAGGGCGACTCGGTCCCCGCGCCGGTGGCCTCGTCCTCCGGGGTCCTCCGGGGTCTGGGTCCTGCCATCCCCGCCCCGGAGCGGCAGAAGGTCTGAGGTCTGCAGGTCTGTCTGCGGGGCGGCGGTGAGACGCGGTGGGACGCGGGTGTCCTCTCCCTTCCCATAGCCGGGAGAGCCAGGGCCAGGACCCACTGGTTTATGTCCCTTTGTGTGGTGGCGGCAGCCGCAGGCGGTTAAGGGATCCGGAAGGTTAAGGGATGGAGCGGGGGTGGGGCGGGGGTAAGGGACCCCAGAGGTTGGGGGATACAGGAGAGGGAGTTAAGGGATCCCGAGATGAAGAGATTTGGAAATTAAGGGATGGGGTGAGGGTGGGGGGTAAGGGATCCGGGGAGAGGAGGTTAGGAGATTGGAGGTGTGTCGAGTTAAGGGATCCTGTTCCGCGGGACTCCTGGGATCCGACCGCAGCCCTACAGGGAGTACGACCCCCTGGGTGGCTCAGCCTCTGGCAACTTTGTGCGCTGAGCTCCGGGGGACAGACGTGCTGACACCACACTGTGTGTGTCACCTGCAACTCAGACCCTAAAGCGGTTCCAGCAGACCTTTGGCATGCGGGGCCAGCGGGCACCTGCTGCCCCCTCCGCTCTCAGCCCAGCCAAAGACTCCTGACCTCCAACCTCTCCCTCCTCCTCTCACCCCTTCTTCCTTCCCCTCTTGTCTCCCCCTCCTCCTCTCTGCCTCCTTCCCCCCAGTACTAACTGCAGAGCACAGCATGGAGGCCCCGATCTGACAGGCACCAGCCTATTCTGGGGGTTTCGATGGCCAAGTGGCTCCGGGATTATCTGAGCTTTGGCGGCCGGAGGCCCCCTCCGCAGCCGCCTACTCCAGACTACACCGAGAGCGACATCCTGCGGGCCTACCGCGAGCAGAAGGACCTGGACTTCGAGGATCCCTATGAGGACTCCGATGGACGCCCCGAGCCAGAGCCAACCGGGTCCGGGGACCCCAAATACAACTCGCCCAGGCACCGGCTGATCAAGGTGGAGGCTGCGGACATGGCCAGGGCCAAGGCCCTGCTGGGCAGCCCAGGGGAGGAGGTGCGTGGTGGGATGGCACAGGTCTGTCCTTATGGCCCTGGGGTTCCCACCTCATCCCCGTCTCCCGCAAGGAGTCTGAGGGCATCTGGGCTAGCCAGTGTTCCCCTTGGCCTGTTCTCCATTCAGGGAGACTAAGGGTAGGTGTTGTTTTCTGTTTTGTGTGAGACCTGGTCCAATGTCTCATTACATAGCAACAAAATAATTCTGTGGTTGGGGGTCACCACAACATGAGTAGCTGTTTTAAAGGGTCGTGGCTTGGTTTGGTTTGGCTTGGCTTGGTTTGGTTTGGTTTGGTTTGGTTTGGTTTGGTTTGGTTTGGTTTGGTTTGGTTTGGTTTGGGGACAGGTTCTCCCTGTGCAGCCCAATCTGGTCTAACACTTGTAATCCTCCTGCCTCCCCACCGCCCAGACTCCTGGAAGAGGGAGACATGGGAGAAGGAGCACAGGGAAGGAGACAAGGCAGACTGATCAAACCCTGTCTCGTACTCCAGCAGTTGTGTGACCCTGTGCAGGTCACTAACTCTCTCTGTGCTTTTGTTTCTTGGCCGGTAGAATAGGCTGGAGTCCTCACTAAGGTTTAAGGACTGGCATTATAACGAGACCGGAGGGAGCTGGGGTCTGGGTTCGAATTCCCAGAACACACTTAAACAGCTGAGTGCGGTGACATAGACTTGTAACCCCAGGGCTGGGGAGGCAGGGGCAGGAAGATGCCTAGGACTGCCTGAGCAGCCTAGCTCTGACAAGTGTGAAATGGCCCAGCAAGGGCAGGCAGAGAGGACAGTGTCACACGGCAGGGCATCCAGAGCTAGCCTGAGCCTTTCCCAGCAGCCTGTAGCAGACCCGGAGTACTCCGACCCCTTTGATGCCCAGCCCCAGCCGCCAGCCCCGGATGATGGGTACATGGAGCCCTACGATGCCCGGGGTGTCTTCAGTGGTGAGTGCACGGCGGCGGGGTGAGAGGAAGGTCCTGCCTGTGTGGGAGGGGAAGCTAACCAGTGTCCCGTCCACAACCAGAACCGCCAGGCAGAGCCGTCCAGCTGTACGATACGCCCTACGAGGAGCAGGATGCAGAACCAGAAGATGGAGCAGCTTCCGGCCAGAGCCGACTGCCCCTGGAGGATGAAAGGCCAGCGGATGAATATGACCAGCCTTGGGAATGGAAGAAAGATCACATCTCCAGGGCCTTCGCAGGTATGTGCAAGGCCAGGCCCCGGAGGCCTCTCCCAACACTGCCTCAGCTCTCGGTAACGCGTGAACTGCCCACCTCTGTCAGTTCTTCCCCAGAGGTAATGCCTTCCTGGGGAAGGCTTTTGGAATGGAATGGAACTCACCCCATTCTCCGCAGTCTTGGGAGGGGATGTGGCTGGGACATCACACCGGACTTGTGGTCATTATAGGATCAACCCAACAGGGGGATTGTGGACTAAATACTAGAACGCACCCAGTTGTGTGGGAGCTGGTGAAGGGCAGACTGGGAGGTTTAGGAGCTGTCACAGGACAGACTTGGGGTCAGACAATTCCTTGGTGAATCAAGTAAAGAGGTAATAGGATCAACCTAAGGAATAGCAAATAACCCAGGTCAGGAAGAGACGCGGCCATGACACGAACCAGTGCTTGCCGTCTACCATGGGTCCAGGGGACTGAGCTCAGATAGTCCATCTGGCTTGCCCACAAGCACCCTTACCCACTGAAGGGACCCTGATAGCTTCCAACCTAGCGCTGTTAGCCGCACCCCCTGTGCTCTGAATTGTCAGTCAAAGCATTGCCCCTCCCCTTTAATGGTGCCTGGGGTATGGGTGGCCACGCTACTTTATTTCTAAAGACCAGTAGCAGCTCCAGTGTCAGTCTTGCCCTTTCTTAGATGCCCTTCCCATTGCCTGTGCTGTGATAGGCTGCCACAAACTGAGATCCCTTTGGTGAGCTCCTGCCCCGCCCCTGGTGGCTGGGACTTAACCTCACCCTTCTCTTCCAGTACAATTTGATGGCCCTGACTGGGAACGCACCCCAGGTTCCATGGAGCCCCGAAGACCGCAGCCTGCAGAGCGTGTGGACACAGCCCTGGCCCTGGAGAAGCAGCCGTGAGTGTGGTCCCCGGAGGAGGAGTGGCCCCAGGCACTCTCGGAGCTGCAGGGGAGCTAGGGCCTCATTCATTCATTCATTCATTCATTCATTCATTCATTCATTCATTCATGCCTCTGGTGAAGGTCTCATGTAGCCCAGGCTGGTCCCTACCTACCATATCCAAGGGAATTGTCTGTCTGTTCCCTGGGTCCTATCCCTTGCCCCGCAGCTGTGTGAAGCCTGCTGCCCATCTCGAGGTGTCTGTCTCACCCTGCCCAGGTGGTTTCATGGCCCCTTGAGCCGCTCTGAGGCTGAGAACCTTCTGTCCCTCTGCAAGGAAGGCAGCTACCTTGTTCGGCTCAGTGAGACCAGGGCGCAGGACTGCATTCTGTCCCTCAGGTGAGACCAAGTCTCAGGACCACACTAGGTGGAGCTCCGGGGCCAGTGGGTGGAGCTTCTGGAAAGTGGGCAGGACTTCCACGTAGGTGGGTGGTGCTCCTGGGCCAGTGGCTAAGTGGGTCCAACACGGAATGAGTTTGGAAGCCTAACACGATATCCAAACCTGTGGTGGGGCTGGTAACCAAGGCACAAGGTTCTTTTGACTAGCTCTGTCCAAATCTTGAAATGCAGCCATGAGTCTGTTTGAAGACAGTCTCAGAATGTTCTAAAAAGCACTTGAGTTTGAGGCTCTGGTTCTTTAAGATACCTAAAGTGTAAATGCAGTGTGGCTCACAAGGCCTATCACCTCAGCACGGGGAGGGGGAGGATGGGCAGGAGGACCAGGAAGATCTGCTGGGCCACAGCAGACCTCTCAATAAAAGCAGGAAGGTGCTGGAGAGGCAGCGCGGTAGTTGAGGGCACTTGCTGTTCTTCAGGAGGAACCCGGTCCAGCCCCTAAGTCATGCAGCTCACAACTGCCTGTAATGCCAGCCCCAGAAAATATGACTCCCTTTCTTTCCTGGTCATGATGGGGACTGTTTGTGCCCGCACGCACACAGACACACACATTAAAAAGAGAGCCCGGGCATCACACTTTTACTCCCAGCACTCAGGAAGCAGAGATAGGCAGATCTCTTTGAGGCCAGCCTGGTCTACAGAGAGGGTTCCAGGACAGCCAGAACTACACAGAGGAAACCCTATCTCGAAAAACCGAAAAAGATAAAAAGAAAAACAAAAGTTAAATGATAATTAAAAAAAAATACATCTGGGCTGGCAAGTATTGCTCAGTGAGGGGAAGCACTTGCCACCAAGCCTGAAGAACGTGAGTTCTGTCTGAGGAGAGACCTGGCCTTCGCAAGTTCACACTTGTCCTCTGACCTCCACATGTATTCCCACACACAAATAAATGATAAATATTAAAAAACTGAAGGGCACAGGGGTAGGGTCAGTCTCACTGACCCAGCACTAATGGGTGTCTATGTATTTCTTCATCAAGGGCCCTATGATTGTGGGAGATGAGAGGCTGTGAGGGAAGGGCTCCCTTTTCTTTTCTTTTCTTTTTTCTTTTTTTAAGTTTTATTTATTTATTATGTATATAGCATTCTGTCTGCATGTGGAGGCGCCAGATCTCACTATAGATGGTTGTGAGCCACATATGAGTGCTGGGAATTGAACTCAGGACCTTCGGAAAAACAGTCAGTGTTCTTAACCTCTGAGCCATCTCTCCATCCCCCCTTTTCTTTTTTTTTTTTTTTTTTTTTTTTTTTTTTTTTTTTTTTTCTTTTCAAGACAGAGTTTCTCTTTGTGTAGCTCTGGCTATCTTTGAACATGATTTATAGACCTGGCTGGCCTCAAACTCACAGAGATCCACCTGCCTCTGCCTCCTGAGTGCTGGGACTAAAGGTGTGCGCCACCACTGCTCAGCTGAGAAAAGGACTCTTACAGAAGTGACCCTCAGGCTGAGCTGAGAGCCAGCAAGGCCAGGGTGAACATGATGGGAACTGGTCTCGCTGTGTAGCTCAGGCTGTCCTGGAACTCACTCTGGAGACCAGGCTGGCCTCAAACTCACAGAGATCTGCCTGCCTCTGCCTCTCAAGTGCTGGGATATTTTACTTTATTTTTGTGGGTGTAGAGGTCGGGGAGCAACCTTTGGGGTTCAGTTCTCACCTTCCACAAGTGGGTCTTTGGGAATAGAACTCAAGTCATCAAGCTTGGCTCCAAGCACTTTTACCGTCTGGTCCCTCTAACTGGCCGACAACTGAGTTTAAAAAAAAAAAAAAAAAAAGACACACTACAGAGCTGTGGAAGCCAGGAAGTCACTCATGACTGTCAGTCCTGCAGAGGGGTGCTGGGTGGGGCTGCCAGTGATGTCCCTGGAGGCCCAGTACCTACCACAGGCAGGTGACTGTGGAAAGATGGAGTGTTGGGTAGGTCTGGGGGGCTGATGTTCCACCTCGTCCCGCAGGAGCAGCCAGGGTTCCATGCACCTGAAGTTCGCATGGACAAGGGAGAACCAGGTGGTCCTGGGCCAGCACAGCGGGCCCTTTCCCAGTGTGCCAGAGCTGGTCCTGCATTACAGTGCCCGCCCACTGCCTGTGCAAGGTGCCGAGCACCTGGCCCTGCTCTATCCTGTCACCAGCAGCCAGAGCTCCTGAAGGACCTACACGTCTGCTGCTAGGCCAGAGAGGAGCCAGGGGACCCATGGCGCACAGACTTCCTCCAAGCCACCTTTAATTCCCTCTGGTGGGGTACTTCAGACCAACAAAACGCTCTCAGGACTTGTGAGCCAGCTTGGCGGGTGACGAAAGGCGCTTGCTGCCAGGCTTAATCCCGGGAACCCACATGGTGGCAGCAGAGAGCTGACACCTGCAAGTAGTTCTCTGATTTACACACAAGCCACACGCCATAAATTAATAAATAAATGTAATAAAAAAAACAAATTTTAAAACCTTTTCGTTCCCTGCTGTTCTTTCAGAGCTGTGGGGAGAGGCTCCTGATTCAGCAGAGAGGCAACCGCTCAGACGTTGGAGCGTCCTCAAAGCCATGTGCCTGGGGGGGGGAGCAGCCCCAGGCCTTTGTCATGGGGATCCAGCTGGGGTTAGAAGCTGAACGTCCCCAGAGGCAGGAACAGCTCCGCCTTGTCCCAGCCTGCAGCTGGGCCTCTGGCCTCCCAAGCAGAGAGACATCTGTTTTCCCCCCGAGACACACAGTTCCCCCCATACCCAGGAAATCCACAGAAGGGGAGAGGAGGCAGCTGCAGCCCTTGTCATTTCAGGGTGACAGGCAGGGACAGAATAATGGTACATGCTGGTAGCCCTGACCCTCAACTCTCCTTTCTCAAGAAGCCACGCAATGGGTGGCCCACTAAGGAAGAAGGGGCCAACGAGGCCTGGGTGTGGACTCCCTGTTCCTTGAACATGTAAAAAGCAAGGGAGAACAGGAAATGATGCATTATATTATAATCGCAAAAAACCCCACATGTTTTGGCTTTTGTTGTTTTATATACATGTATGTGTATTGATACGTGCACATGCGTGCAGGTGTCCCACCAGAAGTGGCTGCTGGGAACTGGTCCTCTGAAAGGACAGTGTGTACCCTTAACCACTGAGCCATTTTTCTAGCCCCTATTATAAAAATATAAGGCAATCAGGTAGATAAGAGGCAGGCAGATCTCTGAGTCCAAGGCCAGCACGGTCTACATAGTGAGCTCCAGGACATGAAGAAGGGCTTACATACTGAAACCATGCCTCAAAACAAAAAATAAAAAGCAAAGCAAAACAAACAAAAAAAAAATCAAAAGTAGAACAGTCTTCCTGGCCAAAGCAGGATGTCCAGGCCATCTCCATGCACCCTGGAACCCACAAATGACTCTTCCTTATTGGTAGCATCCCAACATGGCTATCTGCGTTCTGTGAAGAGCCTTGTTAAAGCTGGGCTTGGCCATGCAGGCTTGTCACTACAACTGCTGGGGAGCTTGAGGTTCCAGACCAGCCTAGGCAACACGGTAGAGAAAGAGGAAAAACAGAACTAGGGATGAGAATCTGAACTAGAGTCCCGGCCTAGAAGCCCCAGTAAGGGGCTGGGGGATTGATCGGGAGTAAGTGATTTCAGCATTTTTGAGGCCCTGAGTACCATGTACTGTATTTAAAACAGCCTTTATTGAGAGTCCTTGAGTCCCATGATTAATCTTAGCCTGGGCTGTTGGAAGTCCCCTCCCCTTATAGAAACAGTGACAATCCTTGTCCACTGTGGGTTCCCAGAGTCTCCAATGCCTCTTTTGACTTCAAGGAACCCTCTTGGCATGTGGCCTGTCTCTACCCCCTAGGGTTCACAGATGCTCAGTGAGCAGAGACAGGGTGGCCAGACCTGGGCCTGGGGCTGGGTTTGGGGACCAGAAATTGTTGACCTAGGTCAGGTTGGGGGAAGGTGGTGGAATAGACGATCTGGGTTCTCGGGTCCGGCGCCTTCTCTTTAGGCGGGACCTTGGGACGGTGTGGCGTCTCCCGGGGCCGGTGGAGGACATTGCTGTACAAAGAATTTTCTGGGGGCAGGTGACATAGATCAAAAGGCGCCAGTCAGTTAAGAGTGGCCAGAGCTGTCCTGGCATGGCTGAGGAGCCAACCTTCCCCAATAGGCTGCCTCCCTTGTCGCCCAGCCCCGCACCCCAACCCCCAGCGGCTTTGGCAGGGTGCCGCAGTTTCTACGCCTTGCGGCGTAGGGGCGGTAGCACCGTGTATGGAAAAGCCTTCATAACCCTTGAGACTCTCACCTGCACAAATGCTCTCACCTGAATCCTTCCGGTGACAACTGCTGAGGCCCCACAATACAACACCTAGCACCACCAAGGCTGCCACCACACCCCCAACCACCGAAAGCGCCAACAGGAGCCCTAAGGGGGGGAGACAGAGGGGACTGTCTGTTGGGGAGGGGCATGCAGGATGGAGAGGCGGGGGAGGGGAGGATCTCACCTGATTGGACGAAGGTCTCTTTCAGCTGGAGGCCACCTGGAGGGAAGAGGTCCCTGTCTCAGGAGGATGACCACTGTGGAGCCCAGACTCCTGTAGCCACTGTGCCCCTGCCTCAGTTTATTGGAACTGCCAAGTTCTGTGATCTAGAGCTTCTGAAAAGGAGTGAGTAGCCATAGCTGTGCTCTTGGGCTAGCAGTGGGATGTACTATGAACTAGGGATTCCATCTAGCGTGCCTCCAAATTTTTCTTGAGACCCTCCCTTCTCCAAATGACTTCAGCTCCTCCCTGGGGAAGTCGAGGGGAAACAGCTCTACTTTTCATTCAAACCCCAAATCTTAGTATGAAGCATGTTAAACACCATCTAAGTTCACCCTGCCTAGCTAGGAACGCTCATGGCTGTATGTGACAGAACAGGCAAGGAGCTCAAGTCAATGCGCACGCGCACGCGGGGCTGGAGTCCAGGTCTATGTGACTGACAGGAACCTCAGGCAAAGGTGCAGCTGCTCCCCACCCCGCCCCACCCCACCCCCACAAGCATGCTAACTGGGCCACCCCTCAGGCTAGTGGGTATGAACCACACAGCCAGAACACAATTCCTACAATAACGCCAGTGTCCCGGCAGCTGCAAAGAACACACCAGTTAGGCTGGCAGGAACCACTGAGTCATTACCCGGATGGGGCTGCTGGGGTCCCACAAGGCCCTGCTGTGACAGAAAGGGAGAGGTGAGAGCCTGGCCCCAGGGCAACCAACCTAAACACGTCGGTGTTTGCCGTTGTTTTGTTTGAGACAGTAAAGGCCAGGCTGGTGTTGAACTCTTGGCAATTCTCCAGCCTCAGCTTTCTGAGCGCTAGGCTAGTAGGCAAGTGCCGCCACATTCCTCACTAACGCTGTTTGGTTTTTGTCTGTCTCACCATCCTAAAGGCTGGGATGACAGGAGTGTGCCACAACATCTGGATCTTCTATCATACACTTATTTTGAGATAGGCTCTCCTTCTGTAGCCCAGGCTAGCCTCCCAAGTGTCAGGATGACTTTTTTTTAAATGACTTTATTTTTATGTTTGATTATGTGGGCATGCAATACCAATGGTGGCCAGAAGGGGCATCGGGTCCCCTGCCTGTTGTGAGCCTCCATGTGGGCACTGGGAACTGAACCCTCGTGCTCTCTCTAACCTCGGATTGGCCTCTCCAGCCCCTTCACAGCTTTTTCAGACAGGATCTTATTTAACCCAGGCTGCCATTGAACTCCTGACTCTCCTCTCCTACCTGCTTTTTTTCTTTCTTTCTTTCTTTCTTTCTTTCTTTCTTTCTTTCTTTCTTT